AGATCGGAGTCAATAAGACAAACACAATGCATTTTTTGTTATCTAAGAATATAATAGTCTAATATTAATAGAACAAAAAATAGGAGTACTAGTGGTGCCCATCTACTCTTGTATAGTAATAAAGATTGTTGACTATGTTTCTAGCCTTAATATGTTGTATAGATATTTTAAATAACATTTAGAAACTAATAAATAATAATGGTCTTCAAATTTTGCAATTAAGATTAAATTATACTAGACTTTTTGAGTTTGTAATTTAATAGACTTACTATATAGTAATTACATATACAGTACATATAAATTTTTTATTGTTAGCTATTAGGTCATTTGAACTAGTATAGTGCTTGGATCTATTTTTATATTAAATTAACAAATATTAATATCTAGTAGATTTTACTATTAAATTTAGTATATTTAGTATCCAACGGATAACAGAACCAAGCACTAAACTAGCATTCTTATTCTAAATCATCTTATCATGGATATTAATTTTCCTTTTATTATTAATTAGGCTTTTTAGAAGCTAAATCATTAAGTTAAAATTTAAAAGCAAAGCCTGGCTTTTTTTTTTAGTTGTTTGTGTACTCCTATAGATGAGCCAATTATAATACTTTTAATAGTAACTTTACTAGTACAGATATTTTTATTTTTTTTAAGTTTGACACTATTGATTAAAATAGGATATATTTAGTTTTTGACTTGAACCAAATTAAACAGAAATTCTAATTCCCAAACCCAAACTATATAGTAATGTCATAACTCAAAAAAATAGTTTGGGCTGCAACTCTATATGCAACAATAATCAAAGCTAGGCAAACTACTCTCTACCAAGATGTTTTATACAAGAGTACTATCTTCTGCTAGTTATCTTGTATAATAACACTCTTAGTTTATATATTGAATATTGCCTATAAAGAAGTCTTATTGAGCAAATATTGACCTAATAGGCTATGGCTCTCTAATAAAATTTTAGTTTTTCTTTTAGTGAGAATTTTAGTTTAAGTGATCATTGAAAAGAGTTGAGTGAATAGTTAATAAAAATAATATTCTAATTGAGGTATTTGTAAGTATATAAAAGTTTTTATAAAATTTGTATTGTAGATAAATTGTTTATATAAATATATATATATTTTAATATAATATTGTAGCAAATAACTTTATTATTATAATATTAATATTACAAATTAATTTACTATAACTAAATTCAAGATTAATACAAATCAACTAAACTGGCATATGTATGCACTTTTCTATATTTAGAATAATATGAATAATATTACTCACTACTACTATTTCTAGATAAGACTGCAGGTAGTAATGTGAGTTAGTAGCTACCAGTAGCTATCTACTACTGTTAACTACTAGTAGCTACTAGTAGCTACCATGAGATTAATAATATAAAGTAGTAGATAGATAGTTAGTAGTTTATTAAATCTAGTTGGTTGATTATAGCTTGCATTATATATATATATATAGGTAGAATAATTAGCTAATTATAATGAAAGTTTGCTATACTACTGGTATTGGTAGCTAATAATGGCTACCACCTATTGGTATATACTGGTAGAAGAATTAAAATTTGGTAGAATCTCCATCACTAATTGCAGATCACCTTATTTTATACTTAATTTTTTATATTACTGTAAAAGTGCAAAATAATGCTCAGTGGCATTAATTTGAAAATTAGATACCTCTAAAATAATATATGTGGCCTCAAATTAGCGCTCATGGGCATCCTGAATTAGCGCACATCTATATAAATAAATGTAAAAATAAAATAGTATAAATAAACCTATTTTTAGAATTAATATAAGTTGCTCGAACATTGTAAAATTGTCTTTAAAATTTCGCAAAATCATATTAATAAAGGTAAATAAACTTTATAAAACCATTGCAGGTGAACTACTAGACCATTTAATGATTTTATTACTGTTAGATCCAAAGAACAGGGTACAATCAACTTATCGACTTCGTAGACACCACCAATTACTTACTGGAAAGTTTATTTCACCATAATTTAATTCACCAAAGCACATTTTACAGACAAAGTAATTCTGATCAATATCATTAGGGTCAGGTTATAATTAGAGTTATAGCTGTTCTCATAAATTTTGGGACAAACTAAAAATTTGTCATTTCCCGAAATCTCTTTTGTTTCATCTTAAAGGTCACCTAACTCTTCGGCATCACATCATTATCTTTGGAACTTTTGTCCGGTGATAGTGGTGTATTTTCTGGAGAGTTAGATGATTCATAAGACGAAACTGAAGAGATTTTTGAAAACTACCAAATTTTTAGTTTGTCCCAAAATTTTTAGAACAGCTGTAATGTTAGTGTAATTTATGTCAGTGAAAATGAGCTTCAGTGAAATAGATTGTCAGTAAAATGAACTTGTTGGTGAAATAATATGGATTCTTAAAGAACAACTTTTGTTAATGCCAACCAAAGCACTTTTTAATTCTTATTCTAAATAAATACTACTTATTATGATTAGAGGTATGAATTCAACTCTTGTTTCGAAATAACACACATGCAAATACTCGAAATAATGCACAGGTCAATTAATTAACGCACAGGTGGGCGTTATTTCGCACTTGTACAGTACCTATTTTTATATTACACTTCTCTTTTTACTTCCTATAGCAACCTTACAATTCTCACAGTTTGGTTTATTTCAGCAGTTTTTTGCTCTTTTGCTTCCAATTTAGAATATATAGCCCTACATGTGTTGATATCTTTTGGCCATCTTTTAATACAATATGCAAAATTCACTCACCTCTTAAAAGGTGAGTGAATATTTGCATATTTATATAAGGAGATTAATAAATAAGTTGCACAAAAATTATTTAGTGATTATAGGACATTCAAATAACAAAGTTATCAGTCAGATCTTTAAAAGATGAATAATCAGTTATTATTTACAATCTGACTAATAACTAGTATATAGAAAAAGTTTATCTAACTTATTGAAGATAAACTAAATTAGTATACTATTATAAACATATTACTCTTTGCTTATTGTTTTTATGCAAAGAGATTATGAGCTCTAGATCTTTCGCTTATGAAATTGATAATTTAGGATATTTTATTTCCATAACAAAATTTTACATAAACTTATAATAGAAATTATAATAGGTAAGTCCTAAAATAAAATTTTACAATAGCCCTTAATAAAAATACCAAATAAGATAGATGGTACACGGGCACCACCTGTCGCAATACTGAACATTTGCCACTAGATTCCTGGTTTCGCGTGGTGACGTCGCGCAGCTATTTAGTTTATTAAATAAATATATTTAACATCCAGCTTTACATATATTTAAATTTTTTAAAATTATTTTAAAGTATAAATGCATATATACAATCATGAATATGAAAATATATTAATATTTTACACGTATATCTATATTTTCACAATCATAAATCTAACTTCGTGTCTTACTAAGACTGTTAAATTATATTCCTTAATTAATTCCTAGCAATTTACTTTCCTGCTACTGGCGATGCAGAATGATTTTTAGAAAGATTTCACTTAACGAAAGAGGTTATAACGTACGATTTGATATCTCTAAAACTTGAAAGTGACAAAATTTTTATTTATTCCGAAATTTTTTAGTTGCACATTCGTAAGAGTTCACATTTATATATAAAAGTTAATTAATAATCAAATGAAAATTCAATGAACATAATAAAATTATAATCTACTGTCATCAAAAATTTATCGTCATTAAAATTATTATAAATTAAGAAAGATTACAAGTTCCACAAAACTACTGGTTAAAATAACCCATATTAACCCATCAATCATAGAGTAAGTTTCCTCCGATAAGAAATATATATTTGAAAAGGCGACCCCAAAGTAAATAAAAGTGAATAATATAAGAGAAAGTGTGAAAAATATAACAGAAGATATTGTGACCATATGCATATTTTTAATCATATAATATCTGACTAATTCAAAAATTAAATTTATAATAGCGGTGATGAAACCAGCTAAAATATTAATGGCATAATATGTTAAGTATCTTTTACCAGTAGATGCATTAATAATATAAGGAGCATTAATAATATGAGGAGCATAAATAATACAATCTATTAAATAAACTATAATAAATAGTATTTTAATAATTTTAAAAAATTGCCAATAAGTAAGTTTATTGGCAATAATAATAATTATTTGAATCGATGAAAGTATAATTATAATCCATAATGATGAAATTAGAACGGGAAGCACTTTTCCCACACGAAAATATCCTATACTAACTGCACCACTATAAGCTAGTGTAATAATAAGATAGATAAAAATAATACATGCATTGATTATAATGGCTTTTTTTTCTGATAAATAAAGAGTATAAACAGCCATTTCGGCGCAGAAAAATATTATCGAAAAAGCAAAAGCAAACGCCAAAATTATATTTATAGTAAATTGTTTGGAAAAATAAGAACCGAATTCTTCAACTTCAAAATATATCCAGAGAATAAAATAAAGCAGAAAGAGTATTATTTTCAATACACCTATAGATTTGCATATTGTTGTTTCTTGACCCATTTTCGGTTATCTTTTAATTTTTAGGTATAGTACGTTTAAAGCGTAGAAATTTATATAAAATGTCATAATATGTATTATTAATTTATTTATTGAATAAATGTATGCGTTGCTCGCATACATATATAAATTATAATTTGCAACACATGATGATCATAATTTGATTATTTATGCTACGTATAGAATATTCTTTGCTCGTATTCTGTATAGGGCTTTATGTAGTTATATTTGTTGTTATCCGACAAACTCATATGATCATGAAAACTTTCCTTTTGTTTTTCATGTGTTACTATGTAATTATGTTTAATCTAATATTCAAATTATGATCATAAATTGCCGGATAACACTCGAAAACGGTAATTTGACAAATGATTGGACACGTGTTCATTTGCCAAATTACCGTTACTCAACAATTTTGACCAATAATGTATACATATACACTATATACCGATTAAAATAAGGCGGCCACCATAATTACTAAATCTACTAAATCTACAATAATCAAAGCTGATTCTCTAAACAACAAATACTTAATCATCCAAGGGTGTCTTCCACAAGCATCTTAATCAATTAATTAAATAATGATCATGATAATGCTCAAACATCACTAGAATTAAATAATTGAACATACTCTTACTAATTTTTATAAGCTTTGCCAAAGTTGCAACTTAGTTGTGCCGGTTTCTCCTTTTAATAATTTTATCAATTTAATTTTTGTAAAACTAACGGAACAACTTATAGAGTCGTTTAGTAAAAATTGATTTACAGCAACAAATAATACTTAAATTTAAAAAATATATATATTTTTATAGGTAACTGAAAATAGCATAGATAATACAAAATGTTTCGAAATGAGTTATAGCCTCCATAATCCGTTAAAAATTATAAATTGGTTAAAGGTTAAAAAAAGATAGGTATCGATTACTTGTTTTAAAAGTTTAAGCTTTAAAAATAAAATAAAAAATATATAAATTTTTTGATTCGGCTAGAAATTTATTGACAACAATTTATTGTATAATATGTTTGATATGTAAAAAATGTAATAGTTATGCTTAAAAGACCTTTATTAGTGGTAAATTTAAGATGGATCGATTTGTTGATCGAAAATGGTAACACAGTTAATTCATTCAATTTAAATTTCCACCGATTTATTGATGAGGTGCTTGATAAAACCTCTAATCCATAAGTCTTTGACTGATTCTTTCTTTATTAATTCCGGATACAGATATAATTTCTACAAAATAACAAGTCATAATAATTATAACTAAGATATCGATACTGGTATAATAAACTTCTCCCAATAAAAAATAAGTATTTGTAAAAAAAACACCAAAATAAACCATCGCAAATGTTATGGGAATAATCATATCAATAATATTATTCACAATCCTATTTCCCCCTCCCTTGATCACATATATGTAAGTAATATCATACACTAAATTAAGGATCCCAATAGCAAAAGAAATTAAAAGATTCTTAAAGTAACCAGTACCAACATTAAAAGAATTATAATGTGAAAATTTTATAAATCGAATAATATAAATTGTCAAATAAATTCCAATAAACACTTCCTTTACTAATTTAAAAAAAATGCAATTAATATCCTTTTGTATAAGTGTAATATCCTGAATTAGTGTGAGCGCTGATATTGCCCATAATGACACAGTCATTATAGAATATAAATCCCAAATTGGCTCATCACTAATAGTTAAAAAAGTTAAAGCTAAAGAAGAACTAAAATAAATGAGGGGTATTAATGCGTTTATACATATATGTAGATTAAGGATTGCTCCTTGTCGTTTAAATGTGTAAAAAAAATATAATTCGATAAAAAAATATATTATAGATAGTGCAAATAAGGCTGCCATAATTCCTTCAGCTAATAATCGATTAGAATTATTAAATGTCTCTTTAAATGGATTATATATAGCTTGATATATCCAGAGTATTATAAAAGCCAAATAAAATATGACTTTTAAACCACATACAACCCAATATATTGGCTTATATGGTTCATCAATTAATTTCGTCATTTTTTTAATAGTTTTGGATGTTATTCTCGAAAAGTAAACACCATTTTCTTAATATTTTTGATTTTTGAATTGGATCAGAATATGTAAATGTATGTACTGTATGTATATCCATCATTTATGATTCACGGGGTCCATTCCTTTTGATTCACCTGTGATCGACAAAAAAAGGGCCCACTTTTTGTTAGAACAAAAAAAAAAACAATTTTTTTTTATTTGAATTCTATGAATTCATAGAATTTAAATAAAAAAAAAATCATTGAATTTGATCCACTCTCAACGTTAGATAAATATCAAAACGCATAGAAGCTGCGCTAATTTTTTTAAAAAAATTTGAGTGAAGATATCTTCACAACCCAAGATCGAATTCGATAAAAATTTTTTTTATTTGAATTCTATGAATCCATAGAATTTAAATAAAAAAAAAATTAATCAAATTTGGTCTAATGGTTGTGAGGATATCTTCACTCAAATATTTTTAAAAAATTGGCGTAGCTTTTATTTTTCTAATTTTGAGCGAAGATATGTATCACCACAACTACCAGACCAAATCCGATGAATTTTTTTTTATTTAAATTCTACGACTCAAATAAAAAATTTTTATCGAATTCGGCCTGGTGGTTGTGAAGATATATTCACTCAAATTTTTTAAAAAAAATTTGCGCAGCTTCTACTTAGGCGTTTTGATTTTTCTCTAACTTTGAGCGAAGATATATTCACAACCACTGAATCAAATTCAATGATTTTTTTTTATATTTAAATTCTATGAATTCATAGTATTATAGAATTCAAATAAAAAATATTCATCAAATTTGATTAGTTGATTTCGAAATATTTTAAATTTTTAAAATTTATTTTTTTATTCTAATAAAATGTGGGCCCTTTTTCTTGTAGATCACAGGTGAATCAAAAAGAATGGACCCCGTGAATCAAAAACAATGGATTTGCGCGTACGTACAGTATGTAAGATATTTAATTTGCGTTACACTATTCGTAACATAGCGCTTGTCTTCAGATACAAATATATTATAAATCTCGAGTATTGCTTTGTCTTCAGATATAATTTTAGGCGTTTCTTTCTGTTTCACAAATTATTTCTATTTAGAATTTTCTGATTAATAAATATTTATAATGACTTATAGGGACACTTCAGCATATAATGACATCATTTATTTACCAGAATTAAAACTAACTGACCTAAATATATCCTAACCCTAACCCTAACCTAACCCCGAATACTTGCATGTGATGTTGTGATGATCACTGGGTTATTAAACGACCAGTCGTACATATTAAAAATAAAAATGCAGAAGATTTGGTCAAATCGAGTGGATGTGTAGTATACTCTATGTAGTATACTCTAAGGATAAATGAAATTCTTTTTACAAGAATTTATCTTTATATAATACTCAAAAGTTGCAAGTCTCAAATTGCAAATACGGAAAGATCTTTCTAAATGTAATGCGACGGGCCTTATGTAAAAATTAGCCAAACGTGCACTTAGAGAGATTTTGCACTTAGAGAGATTTTACACTTAGAGAGATTTTACACTTAGAGAGATTTTACACTTAGAGAGATTTTACACTTAGAGAGATTTTACACTTAGAG